CTGGAAAACACAAATATAAAAATGACAGAACTTTTAATATGATGATGCTCCGTCAACATTTTAATGCATCTTAATGATTTTTTATTTCTATAGAAAATCAAAGTCAAATATATGATGGCTGTATAATAACGGCTATAATAAAATCATACAAACAACAACAACTGTGTGGAGTTTGCGTGTTCTCCCTGTGTTTGCATGGGTTTCCTCCAGGTGCTCTGGTTTCCCCCACAGTCCAAACACTTGCGCTATAGGGGAATTGATCAACTAAATTGGCCGTAGTGTATGTGTGTGTATGAGAGTGTATGGATGTTTCCCAGTGATGGTTTGCAGCTGGAAGGGCATCTGCTGCATGAAACATATGTAAATAAGTTGGCGGTTCATTCCACTGTGGCGACCCCAAAATAATGAAGGGACTAAGCCGAAAAGAAAATGAATAAATTAATGACAATCATACAATTAATAATAATAAAAATAGTAATAAATAATAAAAAAACATAATAATAAAGCAAAACAGAAAACATTTGCAAAATGTTTCATAAAGGTTTTTATGATTTTTTAGTTTTTATTTCTAAATATGGTCAAATATGAATATAATAAAATGAATATAATAAAATCATACAAACAACAACAACGATAATAATAATAATAGTATAACAAAATATTATAATAATATTTATAATATTATTATAATATTCAAATAATACAAATATAATAATATTATAGGAAAACAGAAAACATTTGCATACCGTTACATAAAGGTTTTTTTAGGATTTCTTTTTGTTTTAGTTTCTAAATATAGTCAAATATAAAATAAATACAATGAAATCATGCAAACAACAACAACCACAACAAGAAAAATATAATTAAAAATAATAATCTAAAAACATAATAATATAATATTAATAATAATAATAAAAAATATATAATAATATAACATTAATAATAATAATAAAAATATAATAATAATAAAATAATCATATTAAAATAATAATAATAATAATGAAGGTAATATTAATAAGAATATAATAAGAATAGGAATATAATAGTAATATTAATATAAAATATTAACATTAATAATCTAATAATAATAATAATATAACTAATAATAATAATAATAATAGTAATAATAATAACAATAAGGCAAAACAGAAACTTATTTTGCAAAATATTTTGCATAATATACACGTTTTTTGTGAATATTTTAATGCATATTATTGTTTTTTATTTTTAAAGTCAAATATAAAATGAACATAAAAATCTTAAAAGCAAAAACTCATACGCAATAATAAAAATAATAATAATAATAATAACTTTAATGATAATAATAATAATAAGATGAATAATAATAATAATAATAACAACAACAACAATAATAATAATAACAACAATAAAAACATTATTAATAATAATAATAAAAATAATAATAATAACAACAATAATATGAATAATATTAATAGAAACAACAACAACAACAATAATAATAACATTGATAATAATAATAATAATAATAATAATAATAATAATAACAACAACAACAATAATAATAATATTATAACCCCAAATATTAATTCAATAATATTTGAATGTTCAAACCCGGAGCTGCACATTCACTATTTTGCATTCTGAGCACTCGAAGAACCTTTCAGTGAACACCCCACTGAAGAACACTCTCAATTCATCCAGTACCCTTATAGCACATGTGTTTGGACTGTGGTGGAACCAGAGCACCCAGAGGAAACCCACGCCAGCACATGGAAAACATGCAAACTCCACACAGAAATGACAACTGACCCAGCCGGGGTCGAATCAGCGACCCTCTTGCTGTGAGGCGACAGTGCAAACCACTTATTAACCATCTAAATAATGCAATTACTATAATGCAAGTCAACAGCTACTGTGATTTTGAGTCAACATATTCATTCATTCACTTTCTTTTCTGCTTAGTCCATACAGGAGTTGAACCAGCGACCTTCTTGCTGTGAGGCTATCGTGCCACCCACTGCGACACCTAAATAAACAAAAATCCAGCTTCTGTCATCATTTACTTATCTGTTAACCTTTATGAGTTTCTTTCTTCTGTTGAACACTAAAGAAGATATTTTGAAGAATGCTGAAGACCTGTAACCACTGGCTTTCATAGTATTTGTTTTTCCTACTATTGAAGTCAATGTTTACAGGTTTTCTGCATTCTTCAAAATATCTTCTTTTCTAACCACTTGACATGTGAGTAAATAAAGAGTAAACATCTAGGGCCCTATCATACACCCGGCGCAGTGTGGCGCAAGGCGCGGCGCAATAGTCTTTTGGTAGTTTCAGCTTGGCGCAAGAGTGGTTTTGAGGCGTTGCACTACGTTGTTTAAATAGCAAATGCATTAGCGCTCATTAACGCTTAGGCGTTCTGGTCTAAAAGGAAGGCGTTCTGAGGCGCACTGCTGGCGCGTTGCTATTTTGAGAAACTATAATAGATTTTTCATTAGACCAAAACAAACCCGGTCTAAACTCCAGCGCAGAGTTGCACCTCACTTAAACACTGCTTAATACACACAAGAGAGCAATAGGCAAATATCTTTACATATGAAAAAAATGTCAATATTAAGGATATATATAGGATATAATAAGAATAGATATAGGATATAAAGGATTAAAATATTACAAAACATATTATTTTCTAGCCTACATAAATATGAAAAACCACTGCTTTTGTGTCTTCTTCATCTCGGGAGGCTTTTTCAGTTCATTCATAACAGTTTGCTTTTGTGTAATGTTATTATTATTAGCAGTATTATTTATTATATCCATATTTATATTTGTTTTATTAAAAACAAGTTTAGATTTGTCCACCTGTCAGGTTTTAGACCATAAGGGGCACAGCATGTGTTTTAGGATATAACTCCGGTTTTTGAGCTCATTTTGTTATTGTTGTTTATTTATTCGTTTGCTGGAAATAAGAACTGAGTTTAGAAATAGTTTTGAAACGAATATTTGCGCTTAACAAACAAAAGTATTTATTTTTAGACTAATTGATGTCTGTGTAAAGGTTTCCCTATCCAAGAGCGAAAGTGAAAGTGATCCATTATCTCTCATTCTCACGCAGTAGATGCTCTGTTTAACAGTTTAACTGTGAACTGTTTGCTTGTGAAATGCTCATTTTTTCCACTTAGACTTACTTTGCGTCCTGTAAATAGCGAATGCGCTTATGGCGCGACGCATCTGGGTCTTAAAGGGAATGGGAGATGAGACTCTAATTGGTTTATTCTCAAAACACACCTATAACTCATTAAGAAAATAAGCTCAACACTTTTAGACCATGCGCCACGGCGCAAAGCGCATTTTCCAGTCCGTAAATTAGCAAAAACGCGTCCTGACACGCCCTGAAAGCGTTTGCGCCCTGTGTTTTGCGCTCTGCGCATGGACCGTCAAAATAGAGCCCCTAGTTTTGGGTGAACTATCCCCTTTAGATTCTATGTACATTTGAAGTCAGAACTCTGTATATTTTCCCCCAATTTCTGTTTGATAGAAAGAAGAACACATTTCTAATCATAATAGTTTTAATAACTCATCTCTAATAACTGATTTATTTTCTCTTTGCCATGATGACAGCAGATAATATTAGACTAGATATTCTTTAAGACACTAGTATTCAGCTTAAAGTGACATTTAAAGGCTTAACTAGGGTAATTAGGGTAAAGTTAGGGTAATTAGGCAAGTCATAACAGTGCTTTGTTCTGGAGACAATCCAAAACAAATATTTCTTAGGAGGGCTAATAATATTGACCTTAAAAGGGTTTTTAAAAATTAAGAACTGCTTTTATTGAAGCCGAAATAAAACCAATGAGACTTTCTCACGAGGAAAAAATATTATCAGAAATACTGTGAAAAATTCCTGAATCTGTTTAGCATCATTTGGGGAATATTTAAATAGGAAAAACTAATTAACAGGAGAGCGAATAATTCTGACCTCAGCTGTAGTATAAAGTAAAAGAACAAACAAACAAAAGCATAATAATTTACACACAGCATATCTATAGACTGCATTGCACTTTTCTGAAGGCGTCTATAATAAACAGAGCCAAAGTTTCTCCTTTACGCTCGGCTTGCGAAGTTTTCCCTTACATATATACATCCCGCCGCGCGAGATCCTGCCTGCCGCGCGTCCATCTGCTGGCTGGAAATATACACACGCGCTCAGGTTGGTGGGAGAGGATTTGTGTGCCATGGAAATTTGTGTGCGTCGGGTACAGTTATGCAATATAGTTCATAATTCTTCTTTCTTTTTTTTTTTGCACAGCAATATGGATGGTGTTTTTATGCCAAACCCTAAGCAGGGGAGCAGCAGTAACTGGTACAAAGACAATCCTGGGCCTGTTGTGTAAGACTGGCATTGAGAACAAACCTGCTTTACTCCTTCTGTTACGAGATTAAGTCGAGCGCTTTTCTGTTCATAGTCAGATATGAAAGCATAATAATGATAGCATTGTAAAAATGTGCATTATAAACATTTATTCTTTAATGTATAACTCTGGATTGGATTATATTATATTATATTATATTATATTATATTATATTTACAAATTTTAATATTTACAGATTTTAAAATTTACAAATTAAAATTTATGACTAGGAATTTATGTTATATCATATTATTTTATATTATTTGTATTATAGATTATATATTTTCAGATTTATTTTAATCTTATTATATTATATTATATTATATCTTTTGTATTATAATTATATATTTTTAGATTTTTTATTTTAATGTTATTATATTATATTATGTTATATTATATTATATTTTTTGTATTATAGATTATATATTTTCAGATTTTTATTTTATTTATATTACATATATATATTTTTTTTCAGATTTTAATGTATGACCTAGTAATTTTATTCATATTATATTAGAGATTATATATTTTTCTGATTTTTTAAAATGATATTATACTACATTTTTATTCATCAAAATCTAAAAATAATAAAGATTCTAAAATAAATAT